ATTACTGGTCTGGAGTTTGGTTTAATTAACTGCGTATAAAAATAAAACATATCGGATGTTATTTTTTTTCCATTTATTCTGGCAATGGGTGGTTGTCATTTTCAGATAGCATAACAATATTACAACAATAGAAAATTCATGATTTTGTTTCAGCAACAACTAGACACAAATGTAACTGAGCATGATCCCGTCCTTTTCAGCCTGCGGGTTCTTGCTCATACCAGAGCTTGTGACGGCATTTTAAGGTGCACTCTGCAACTTATTTCATTTGGGTCCACTCAAATGTGACCATGTTCATTTTTTTTTCTTGGAATGTATCTGTATATGATTTGTAACTTCTAGTGTTGCTGCTCGTCTAGGTCAATGGTATCTCAGCAACTTCACAGGCCGGGGGTTCTCAGATCCTCATGAAGACACTGGTCCTGGGACACCTCGCTCCATGATGAACTCAGCAATGGACCTGCTGCAGTTGACCTACCAGCCGGGCATCGCAGTGGAGGACACAATCATCTCCCTCCTCCACGGCTCGCTGTACCACCTGGAGAAGGCCGGCTATGTTGTGAGGATTTCTCCAGTGGCTTCAACAATATCCAGAGCTCTGCGGCTTCTCAGGGACAAGTTGGAGACAGCTGGAGTGGACTACAACCTGTCTGAGTGGATCCTGGACTAGCTCACAGACAGACCCAAGTTTGTGAGAACCAGGGACTGAGGTTAATATTCACATGTCCCTTAATCCTACCATCCTGTAACCTGTGATGTAGCACCAAACTCTTCTTCGTGGGATCTCTTGATTTTAATTGAGTAATTATTTGTTTACAATTTAAAACTATCCAAGTTAACTTAATGTGTGGACTACAAGGACTCAGTTTTAAAAAAAGAGGTATAACATGTTCTTGGTAGAGCAAAAGTTTGACCAAAAGTGATCTCTAAAAATGCTTTCAATTTGAAAATGTAATGCATTTTTTCCCTGCATCACCCTTTCATGAGACATATTTTCAATACTCATTTACTGATCCACTCTATGTTACCAGATCTCATGGCAATATGACGTTCGAGAGAAACAAACCCAACTGTATTCAAAACAACAAAAACCTTTTGATTATTGGTTCAGTCTTTATTTCCAAAAATACAAGGACAAAGTATAATACTTCCTAAGCTTGTCTAAGAATAAATAACCAAAGCAAAAGTGACAGCGCCCTTCAGGAGGCCATTATAACCTCGATTACAAAAGTGAGCAAAAAGACGTCCTCCTTTGGTTTTTGAGTTGACACGGCTCATTCAGTGAAGCCACGGTTACTCTCTTCCCTCAAAAAGGTTTTCTTGTACAAGACCAGTAAAAATATAGACTGCATTTTAAAAAGCCAGTTTAAGCAGGTATTTACAGATTTAAGTTACCAACAGTCGAAACGTCCCCTTACCCTGGATTATCCAATTTGTCAAAAACCCCGTATACATTTGTGATCCATGTCTATACTTAAAACGCACATTCTTCACAGAAAAAAAAATCAGCAAAAGCAACTTATCTTACGAAAAGAACTTTTCATTTGTGCAAGCGCCGCTCTACAATTCTGCAATAATACGTTTACAAAAAAAGTTATACGCAAAAGTGAGTTTGACAAACGTTTTGGCAAAACTGTCAGTCCGTAGTTCAAAACATTACAACAAGGCACACACTACAATGATCTCTGCTTAAAATGACCAACAGTTTTGCAATAATAATTGAAATGAGACTTGCCAGGCTTGAAATGTGCAACGAAAGGTGAACCGCAACAACCTTAGCCAATGACGACCTGTTTTTGTGTTGAAAGTGTATTCGGGTCGCTAAAAGACTGATAACGGCTTGCATGGAATTTTCAAAGAGAAACTGAAATATATGTGTCCAACGATGCATTATTACAGAACGGGACAAAGAATGAGAGTGAAAGAAAAATCTAACCATTTTGGAAAAACTAAAACCAGTGTTTGCTGCAGCTTTTCCAAAACGACGTTAGTTTGAATTTCCCAAAAGGCTGTATATATCATTATTCTTCACTATTGAAAACCACAACTAATAAATACACGTATAATAAAGTCACGTTGTATTAGAAATGAGCATTAGGCAAAGCAGCAGGTGTGAACGTTCTAGTTTAGTGGAACATGACAGACCTACTCTATGCTCACACAGGATGTTGGCAGAAAGGTAAGGCAAGAAGGCACGAGCGATGGGTTTTTCCACCTTTTCTTAATCTTCGCAATAGTAATAAACGGCGTACTGATAATGTGGCGAGACAGTGCCGCGGCGTCTCTATTGATCTAATGTTTTGAATGTCAATTTATAACAGTGATAGCTTTAATAAGGCTCTAACTAATGTGTTGGTAATTGGAATGGCCCGGTTAATATTACAGCTCCGATAGTAAAGTGCTCCAATTATAGGCACAAGTATTTATCCCGTTAGGAAAAAGTGACTGGAGATATTTGCAATTACATTTTTCTTCTTTTTGTTCTGCCCCAGACTTTACATCCTAATCCATCAAAGCATTGTTAATGTATTATTCAAAGCTTCATTTAGCATTGTATCAGACCTCCTTCTTCAGAAATAGCGGTAATAAGGCAAGTTTTAGCATTATGAGTAAATCTGTTGCAACAGAATGCAAGAGGGCTGTATTCTACCAACCCTTCAGTATACCAGAGTCCACAACAATCGCATACCAGAGCAATTGTGTGTTAAAAGACAATTAAATCTGGGGTACCCAAACTTTAAAACCACAAAAATTCAATTATTCGCACTCAAAACAGTCTGGTTCTCACATGCATGTATTTTTAGCCTCCGACACACCTTTAGATTCATATTTCCAGACAGAAAAGTGAAAGAGTTTCAGGCTGCGTTTCAAGTGCTGTGGTCTGATTTGTTCACAGCATTTTACTTTTTCAATCAATGTATTAGGCCTGTAATTAACTAAAATATTTCACAAATCGATTGGTTGGCCGATTGACAAGAAAGCTCACGTGAAGCCCTGGAGAACCTCTTTGTAGATAGAGAATACAGAGTTGTTTGATTACATTTACATCATGAATACGTTTAAAATACATTCTACAGTCATAAGATATATCACAGAGTCTCTGAGCATGTTTAAATCTATGTAAGGTTAAAGAAATGGACTAAATTAGTTGACAATTATTTCAAAAATGCATTAGTTTACATCCCTTCAATGTATTATACATGGTGCCAAAAAAGGTTGGGTATCCCAGCTTTAACCAAAAGGGCCTGGATTTCTTGTGCCACAAAGTGTGAAGTTTCATTTGTGCCAATCGTCACTTTCTTTCCTTTCTGAGATTTTCTGCGCACGGTCAGCATGAGTACCATCGACATCCCGCCCTCATCGCATCACTTCGCTGCCATTGTCTATAAAAAAGGCGATTCATCACCGTAAACATGGGGCCTAAATTGATCAGACGTTACATAGTGCTGAGTTGGGTTTTCATATATCAGAACGGCAGTAATCGCATTACTGTCTACCATCCTTTCAACAGGGCCCAGGACTAGGCGGCTAACAAGTTTGGTTATTTTTTTAGTTTTTATAACAAGCTGCTTTAAAACATGTTTCCAAAAAATACAGTATTTCTGAAAAAAAGACAATATTAAAGGCTATAAAAAACTAAATATATACATAACAACATCTCTACGACTTGAAAGAAGCCTATAGCACCACAATAATGGACATAAAACTAATATTATACCATCCAATATCCAAGCAGCAGTCACTCCGCCCTCAGATTTCCCTTTTTAAACCATTCGTCGTACGATTACCCGCTGGGGTCATATTTCTCACTCACTTCTTTCCCGCCTTCACTCCAATCACACGTTTGTTTAGCTTTCTTACACAAGCAAACTATGTGACGACCACAAAAATAGACTAATGAACTTGGCATAACAGAACATAACATGCATAAAAAAATAGATAAATATTACATTTCGAGCTGCAATACATGCCCGCGGGTATGAGCCTGCGTGTACCGCTGAACAAGGCCAGTATGTGTGTGTGTGTGTGTGCTAATGAAATGTATTAGGAGCTGCCTTGGGTTTCTGGTGTGGATATGGGTGGGGAAAAAAAAGTCAACAAAATAATTATGGTGAGGTATTGGCGTGTCGCTATGAAAAAACCCCACAAACAATCACTACTTGGTATTGTCCCATGACTAGGTTTCATGTAGTGTTAATATGGGCTATGTTAATTTCAATGTTTTTCTCACTTAGACATCATTTTGTCTAATCTCTGGCACGTACTGTCACTGTGCAAAGTGACTATGTTACGGTTATTGCAATGTTCATAGAGCAACCAAATATGACATTCAAAATCTCCTTTTGAAATATTATATTAGAAATATTAGCTTTGTATTTGTTGTGCTTCAAACTTGAACGGTAAATGCTATTGGAATTACTATATTTAGCACCAAATTTATTCTAGTCATTTCTCTCAGATTGTGAAAATATTATGGACTTTAAGTGAATTTATTATTTTGATGACTGAGTTATCAGACCACTTTTTGTATGAAAATAATTGTTTTTGAGAAAAAACAATTTTTAAAAAAGAGCTCAAACTAGGTCTGCACATTTCTGGATTAATCTTTAGCTGCAATATTTATGCCAACATTGTGATTATGCATGATTATATAACAATTCCGACACTACGGAAAATTGTTTTTAAATCAGATCTGTGTTGCACAACACATTTAGACAGTTTCAAAATAATCCTTATGTAAATGCAGCTGAAGCTCAAGCTCGGAAATGAACATGAAGACCCTTCAATACAACCTCGTTACTATTCAAATAATATATAGTAGGAATCATTTTACACGACCGCTCTTCAGTCAGCGTGTCATCTTCTGGCACTTAATATCTGGAAGGACAACACTGGACATGGAGAGACTCTGAGAATATTGTCTTGACGGCCAAAGCATTGGTGAAATGCCGCCGTCGTGAGGTAAGCGGACACTGTGGGGGTCTTCGTGAGAGAGAGGGTCACTCTGCGATCTGGAGGCTGCTGTGGGGCACAGACAGCTGCTGCTGCTCCTTGTTGAGGATGATGTTGATCAGATCTCCCTCGTGCTCCTTCATGTGCTCCAGCAGACGCTCTTTGCTGGTGGACTCAAAGCCGCAGATGCAGCAGCAGAACAGCAGGAGGCAGTATTCTGTGGTGTGGGGCTGTTGGGGGTCTTTAGCTAGTGGGCTGAGGGAGTGGGTTGAGGGAAGGTCCACAGCCCTGGATGGGGACAGGTGCTGTTCAAGTGGGCTCTTCACTTTGTCCGTAGAAGATGATGATGATGATGGTGGTGGAACTCCGTCTGCGGTGTCTTGGGCTCCTGATGGCTTCTGGGGAGCACTGCAAAAGAATGGTACAAGTTCAAAATGTGTACTTTTCACATTTATACCAGAAATGTCTTCACTAGTCCATAATGTGTGTTCATCCATATACTGTATGTATCCAATGATTTCACATTCTACAGCTACTACGAATTTCAATTAAAAGGAATATTCTCAAGATCATATTTCATATTCTCAAGATCATATATCGCCCATTGGTTATGCTAAAAATTACATCTTATAATCCAAAATATATTTAGGAAGTAAATAATGTTTAATTAGATAGTGCAGACCAATGTCTGTCAAACATAAATTCCATTCTGTCCACACACAGATGACGGAAGAGAAACCCCAAATCATCACCATTCACTCACTCATTACATTCAGACCTATTGTGCATGTTTTTACACTGGGAGGAATATGAAAACTCCACACAAAGATCTGGAGGAGGAATCGAACCCAAAGCTGTGAAACACAAGCTCTAACTGCTGCCACCCTTGTAGATGATCATGGTGTCAAAATTAGAATTGTTTTTTTTTTATTGGTATTGAATTAGTGTTGTCAAAATACTAAAACTATGAACTGGTACAATCTGGTTTGAATATGTTAATGACAGGTCATAGCTAGATTAATGGGCATATCTAAATTCAATGCTGGTATTCCATGCACACATGCCTAAAAGTGAAAAATTACCAAATTAAAATGCAAACTAAAAATGAACAGTGGTATAATTATCTGTGACTACCTTTCAGTCCATGAGATCATTTTCTTTCCGTTTCAGTCTTCTATTCACCCCCTGACAAACAAAACCCACATTGATTCCTGCCGCTGCGCCGGGCCCACACCGCGGGAGCCATTTCCCGGCAGTGGCGGCGACGGCAGGGGCCCCGTGTTCGGTGCTTACCGGCTGCTTTGGGAGATGGCCTCGTTAATGGCTCTGTTCACTTGCTCGTAGTTATAGTTCTGGTCCCCGGCGTGTTTCCACATGTGGGATTTGAGCGAGGGAGGATGGCTGCACACATAGCCACAGAGCGAGCACCTGGGAATACCCACACACAGACACACACACACACACAAATTCACAAGCACGCAAAAAAAAGAAACTTAAGAAAAGCCAAATGAGACAGAGATGGGGAGTAACAGCGGATCAACTGTGGGTTTGATTTAATATGCGCTGAGAACTTCGGCTAATCCTCAACTTACTTTCTATCAAGAGGAATCATCCGGACTTTTAGCGCCGCTGGGGTGACTGAAGCTTAAGAGAAGTGCGCAGACAGGGGAGGGGGAATAAGCGACTTACAGCCAGCCCCGGCGCTCCACACATTTGTCAGAGTTAAAATAATTAGGGAAAACCGGCTGAGAAGAGAACGGCACCACATCAAATGAGTCGTCGGGCAGTTGCTTTGGCGTTCCGGATTCAGGGCTCGGCAGGGACTCCGGCAGGTCAGACACGGAGAGGATACCATGAATGAAAATAAATCGATTGCGCCGCAAGGAGGTAATGAATGTAAGGTACTGCTGTTTTACAAATGTCTTATTAAGTGCTGAGAAAAGGTAGCACTGAGCGGTACACGCAGAACAGTTCGTGGGACACTTTTAACATATTTCATGTATTGACAGAAGTTAACTGCATTTTCCCTTTCAATGAAAATAGTATTGTACAGTTTTAATACACTATGTATTTGGATGGGAGACGGCTGTAATACCAAGTGCTGCTGTGGCTCAAAAGTGCAAATATTTGAATAGCAGTGAATGTGAGACAGAGGGTCCAACGGCAGTGATTGGCAGCCTTGTAATGTTCTGTGTGTCTAAAACAATGTGCAGTGAGAGTTTAAAAAAAGTTTATCTTAGTTACTGTTTAAATTGCGAAGAGAAAGATATTTTTTTCAAGCTAAGCACTGGTTAGACCCAGTATCACCCCAACAGCTTCTTAATTGGACAGAATTAATTTAAATCCTTGATACACAGACCCCCTTTGCTATTAGCTCAACTATTCACCTCCAGAAATTCTTACTGGTGATGGTTACACCAAGGAGAGGACCGATATGCGCCTCCTGTTCGGTGACCCCCGCTGTTATTTTTTGGACAAGTGCCCAAAAAATAACAATTGAAAACCGCTTTGTGACTCTGGTCTGTGAAAGGCGGTATATAAATAAAGATTACTTACTTACTTCCTATATTGCATACATTGTTTTTGAAAAATATTTATAAACATACTGCCATACTACATGGTATAAAAAATTATACAAATGAAACACTTTTTACTGAAGTCACTTAAGGTAGCATAATGGTTATACATCCTCAATCAATACTTGTGTGTCTGCCCTGACCCAGTAATCACACATAAATATGCATTAATAGAAATTATGAAACAAAAAGTCCCTCAGCTCATGGACTATCTATGCCAGGGATGTCAAACCAGTCCTCAAAGGCCGGTGTGGATGCAGGTTTTAGGTCCAACCTGAGCAGGAGCAAACCAGACTCCACTGGACTCATCTGAGAAAGTGGGTGGAGTCTGTGTGCTTCTGCTTGGTTGGAACTAAAACCTGCAGTCACACCGGCCCTTTGAGGATTGGTTTGACACCCCTGATCCATGCAGTGAGTGGTTTGTGTGACGTGTTACCTGTACTGCTCCAGCAGCTGCACAGCCTGGTGCTCCTGCGGGTGCCTCCTCATGTGACTCTTCAGACTGTTCATGTTGGTGGTGGCAAAATCACAGCTACAACAGCTAAAAAAAAGAAACAAATTGATCAAGAAGTTTTCAAGATGCACTCTGTGTTTCTGACCCAGGACAATAGGGAGAAACTAAGGAAAGTTATTTAAACCTTTGTCAACTTTTATGTCAAAATAAAAGCGTCCAAACTGGAATTTCAATATCAGAGCCAAGTGAGCCCGGGACCCATAGAAGTGCATTATGGACAGGACTACAGCAAGCTCATCATCCATGTGGAGCAATGAATACATTATCAGACATATGTTTACGTCATAAAAGGAAAGAGCAGCACACACTAAGGCCCAAACTTTGAAAGAACTTTGATTGTATATCTATATTGTCCCTTGATTGACTTGTGTATAATAACTTCATCTGACTCACATGTAAGCAACATAGAAAACATAGAAAATGTATAGTGGTCTAAATTACTCAAAGCGAAAAGGTGATCTATTACATAAGTGCTGGTTTCATTTAATTATCAGGTAAAAAGGCTTCAGGAATTTCTGTAAAAGGCGGTGCTCCAAGTGGCAGCACTGAACTAGCTCTGAACTGGAGAGGATTTTGAAATGTTGCTTGGAAACTACAAAGCCCCAGCGCTGCCTTGTCAGATCCGTGTTTCTGGTGTCAGCTGGTAGTCTGCCACACACAGCAGATCATGGTTTCAGTGTGACGCAACCTGCCAGAACATACTCTCAACAAAGAGACCATGCAACATTTCAACCTTCAAAATGAGAAGGGAGAGGGGGGTTGTCATGAATGATTCCTTTACTTCACATTTCAGGTGGAACTTGGGTTCATTTAGAGTTTTAAAAGGGCAGTATAATTTAAGCCAAGTTGTAACATTGAAAAGCACAAGTTTAACAATCACTTCTGTAATTTTTCATCACACATTCATTCACATTCACAGTCATTAAACATCTGGCATAAACCACAAATCAACGCCTCAATCCACTTCTCCTGCAACTCTCGATTCACCATGTTACGACCCGGCTCAGCTAGGTGTGAGGAAGTAACAAAATAACCAAGATGGTAGAATGGTAACTAAAATCATAATTTATTTAGGTGACAAAGTAGGTAAAACAAAATAGGATTAATATCTACATAACACACAGTAAATAAATACCCTATTAAAACAAGTAAGCAGTTGACAAAACCAAAAGTGTAAACCTAAAGTGTTTCAACATAAACTAAACAAGTCACTGAACTAAGGTACCGGCACAAGTGACAAAACACAGACAAAACTAATGGCGAACTGGAGTCCACTGACTCCAGCTGCCCTGAGCCGCGGAAGATTGGCAGTTTATAAGGGCAGGTCCTCCAGGTGAGCGCACGCTGATTGGAGGCCTGCCTCAGCTGCTGCCCAATCAGCACCCAGGCATCGCGGTCAATCAGCTCCAGGTGGGGAATGACTGGCCAATAGGAGCCAAGGACTCACGAGCGTGATCTTCTGAAAAAAGGGAGGAAACACAACCACACAGAGACACCACGGGAAAAACTAAAGTAATCCCCAAAATAGGGAATTACGGGCCGTGGGCCGTAACACTCTCCCCCTTAAGAGTGCAACTAAAAGTTGGACAAAAATCTCGAAATCTACAAAGCCAAATTAATTTAATCCAACTGTAATCACCTAGAAAAAAAATATTAGGGGAAAAACTATGGGATGATCATTGTGCAGATTAATGCACAGAGCAGCATTGCCCCAGAGACGGCGGCAAACTCACGCTACCCAAATACACATCCCAACATGTCGAACACAAGACCAACCAGTGTCAATTTCTTAATGATTAACATGACCAGAAGTTACTAGAAAAATACTCCCATGCTTCTTAGTTTGCTTGTGTCATACAGACATGGTTTGGACATTGTTCTGGCCCGAGAGGCACACGCACGCATACAGGTGCGACAGAACAAGCAAAGGCCAACACAGCGGCCTTGTTAGAGATGTAACCATTGCTGTATACAATTCTCAGCTTTAACGAATTTACAGAGTAACACTGAGGTTCCTTACACCAAGACAAACAGGTCATATGGGCTTATTTTTTGTGTTCCTAAATTTAATGCGAAAAATTTAGAAAAACAACAAGATTACTCACATCCACGGGATAGGTCTGGTTAGTGGAAGAGAGGGCATTTTAACTGCATGGACAGGCCAGGGAAAAGAGGAAGACTGGGTTGGGCCTTTAGAGCTGCGTTAGTCTCAGAGTTCCATGATCCTTCTGCTTCACGAGATCCATTTGAAAACCCTCCAAGCGCACGTCTGCACCGAGAGCAGCCTTGTAGGACTCGAGAGGCTGGGGACAAAAGTTACACCAGAGGAGAGCGCACAGGTGATCAGTCTGGACGCTGCACCTCAGCGTCTACTCATCCCAGTGAAGGACACACATGAACAGCACGGCACACATTTCACAGTGCTACCGCTCACAGGCACCAAACCGCACCGCAACGACCTCCGCCTCAGGCAAATCGAGACTGCCATGTTCCACCAACCAACTTACGATGTGAACACTTGCAAACGAGTAGCTATATTTTCAAAATTGGTCTCTAAAATACACAAACAATTGTTGGATTCCTTCCCCTAACTTCTAAATGGCTTCTCAAAATGTGGCTACTCCAGAAACTAATCCCACTGGATGGAGAGAGCCAACTTGTACACCAAAGACAAAATTGTTTACAGAAAAACACCAAACTTACCTACCTCTAACAAAAAATATATACTTACAATTTTAGTTTCGGGAAACGGATTACATTGATCCCGGACGAGCCCCCACTTTTGTTACGACCCGGCTCAGCTAGGTGTGAGGAAGTAACAAAATAACCAAGATGGTAGAATGGTAACTAAAATCATAATTTATTTAGGTGACAAAGTAGGTAAAACAAAATAGGATTAATATCTACATAACACACAGTAAATAAATACCCTATTAAAACAAGTAAGCAGTTGACAAAACCAAAAGTGTAAACCTAAAGTGTTTCAACATAAACTAAACAAGTCACTGAACTAAGGTACCGGCACAAGTGACAAAACACAGACAAAACTAATGGCGAACTGGAGTCCACTGACTCCAGCTGCCCTGAGCCGCGGAAGATTGGCAGTTTATAAGGGCGGGTCCTCCAGGTGAGCGCACGCTGATTGGAGGCCTGCCTCAGCTGCTGCCCAATCAGCACCCAGGCATCGCGGTCAATCAGCTCCAGGTGGGGAATGACTGGCCAATAGGAGCCAAGGACTCACGAGCGTGATCTTCTGAAAAAAGGGAGGAAACACAACCACACAGAGACACCACGGGAAAAACTAAAGTAATCCCCAAAATAGGGAATTACGGGCCGTGGGCCGTAACACACCATCTTCTCAAACTATTACTAGGCCGTGATGCAAGCCACACAGAGTGAAGGGAAGGGGCATTCATTTCATAACACCACACTGCCATCTAGTGGGAAGCAAGGAACAGGCAGACACAAAAGGTTGTGGTCAATAACCACAGGTGCAGTAAATGCAAAATTCTACATCACGCATGTTTCCGTAGAAAGTGGGCTGTACTAAACATTTACATAGCCAATTATCCTTTCGATTAATTGATTAGTTGTTTTGATTTTGTTATACATTTTGCTAAAGCAAAGCTCAAGTGATGCAATTGCAATGACTTGCTTCACATAGTTATTTGATTTAATAATCCTTGCAAAAAAAATTTCATTTGAATCTGCACTCATATTATTATCTGAATCATGAAACCTCTTCTAAGCATGTTCAAGTTGATGCAAGATTCTCAAAACCATTAATTAATACTAATTACTAAATTAGTTGACAACAATCTCAATAATTGATTAGTTGTGATTAACCGATTACCTTAAAATAAATCAATAAATGTGCACTTTATTGTTACCATAGGGAAATGTGTCCTCTACGTTTAACCCATCCTGATACCACTAAGGCAGTCGTAGGAAGCAGTGGTCGCCGTAGAGCAGCGCCCGGGAACCCATCTCCAGAAGCTATTGTGCATGTTTTTAGAGGTAGGGGAAACCTACACAGACACGGGGAGAACATGCAAAGTCCACTCAGAAAGGCCCTATTCAGGGATTCGAACCAAGTACCTTCTAGCTGAGAAGCGAGAGTGCTAACCACTCAGCCACCATGCTGCCCACTTGTTACAGCCCTAGAAGGAAGTTGAAAAATCACTTCATATAACTTGAGATTTTATTGCATCTTTTCTTCTTGGAATCTTGTTATGGTTCTAAAAAAGACGTGCTTCACACTTTGCCTGAAAGAGGGCCTGCCCTGCTGCGTGCATCAATAGAACTGTTATACTCAATAGTAAGACAAACATGTATATTATTGTCTACCTTTGAACACATTCAGAGGCAGGGAGCTTAGAACTGATGAAAAATACACAAAGAGAAAGAAGAATAAACTCTTCTTTGATTGACCCTTTGGCCAAGAGGGGGTGATCCGGCATCTGCGGGGGTGACGAACTCACTCTTTACAACAATAAAAAAAGTGAATTGTAAAGTTTCTGTTTCAATCAGCCCGATTTAAATAGTTTTTTATATCTCCAAAAATATGAATTCCTGGTCTTATATACCAACACCAAAGTCTTGAGAAACTTTAAAATCTATTCATTAAAATCTGCAAACCTGTTTGTTACCCGGCATGAACTACACAATTTGCTTGGCACATTTTGACCCAACTTGACCCACAACTCAGCAAAGCCATTGCAGGCCAAATCACGGAGGAATACTTCACAAAATCTCAGTCAATACACAACAAGATAAATAATATATGAGGGACATGGACAGATTTGAAATTAGCCATCATATTTATGTCGTTCTTATCGCCTCACTTAATTATTTACACGCTGTAATTTCAGTGGCGCACAACTGCTGACTGTGGACAGACTGGCATCGGGGAATTCGGAGTATTTGAGATGCAAGTCACGTCAGACTGGACCCGTGGACAATTACGATTACACACATTTGTAGAGTGAGAGATAGAAGTGTCTGTTGAAGTTGAGAAATGAAAGCCCACATGAAATACAGTAGGTTAGCGAATACAACATTCACACATGAGTCTTAGCTTTGTGTGTCATCACTAATCATGGGTATTTTTTCATTCGATTATAATTGTACATCTATTAATTTTTGAAAACTGCTCAAAAGGAAGTGCTGAAGAAGTGGAGGAGTGAGGACAGCAGAGCAGCAGCACAGAGCGAGTAGTGACAGAGAGGTGTGTGGTCAGACCGTGTTTGGGCCTGTGTCTTTTCGAGAGTGTGCGTGCGTGAGAGCTTGTGTAGAGTGTGTGTGTGTTGGGTTGTGCATGTGTAGAGTGTGTGCGTGTGTGTTGTGTCGAGTGTGATGTGTTGTGTGTAGGGTTGTGCTTGTGTCGAATGTGCGTGTTGGGTTGTGCGGAGTGTGTGAGTCAGTGTGTATTTTGCTTGGGTAGAGTGTCTGCGTGTGTGTTGTGCTTGTGTAGAGTGTGTGTGTATGTGTGTGTTGTGCTTGTGTAGAGTGTGTGTGTGTTGTGCTTGTGGAGGGTAAGTGTCTGTGTGTATTTTGCTTGTGTGGAGTGTGTGTGTGTGTGCATGTGTGTTGTGCTTGTGTGGAGTTTGTGTTTGTGTATTTTGCTTGTGTGGAGTGTGTGTGTGTTGTGCTTGTGTCGAGTGTGTGTGTGCGTATTTTCCTTGTGTGGAGTGTGTGTGTGTGTGTATATTTTGCTTGTGTGGAGTGTGTGTGTGTGTGTGTGTGCATGTGTGTTGTGCGGAGTTTGTGTCTCTCTGTATTTTGCTTCTGTGGAGTGTGTGTGTGTGCGTGTGTGTGTGTGTATTTTGCTTGTGTGGAGTGTGTGTGTTGTGCTTGTGTCAAGTGTGTGTGTGTGCGTATTTTCCTTGTGTGGAGTGTGTGTGTATATTTTGCTTGTGTGGAGTGTGTGTGTGTGTGCATGTGTGTTGTGCTTGTGTGGAGTTTGTGTCTCTCTGTGTATTTTGCTTGTGTGGAGTGCGTGTGTGTGCATGTATGTGTATTTTGCTTGTGTGGAGTGTGAGTATGTGTGTATTTTGCTTATGTCGAGTGTGAGTGTGTGTGTATTTTGTTTGTGTGGAGTGTGTGTATGTGTGTATTTTGCTTGTGTGGAGTGTGTGTATGTTGGGTTGAGTGAGGGGGGTTAGAGCCAAATAAGTGTCTGCTTCGTTCAGCCTCTTTTTAAAAACGGTTTATTTTGTATCTTGTTTGTTTCATTTTTTTTCTACTGCTACTAATAAATGAGCTCACTGTATTCAAATAACAATTTATCAAAGATTCTTTACTAATTCTTGCTTCTTTATTTTGCTAGAGTTGGAAATTTCAGGTAAGTTCAATACAGTTGTTGTGTATTATGACCTGCACAAGGACTGAAAAAAACAGCACTGCTATTGCCACTCTTTATAGTACATAATATATCCTGCACAGACTGTGACAGATGTGACTGTGTACATTTCTCCAGCGTGAGATCGATAGTTTATCTTATGCTGTGTGCTCCTCATTCCTACAGTCTGTAAATGATGATACAACACTGACATTTCTCCACTGCGGGACGAATAAAGGATCTCTTAATGAATTGCTCTTGATGTTGGAATTACTGAAGGCTTTATTCTCACACAGTGAAACAAATACATATAGTAATTGCTCTGAAAACTTACCGATAGGGTTTGTCCGAGTTGTGTATCCTCCGGTGGTTCCTCACGCCGAGATAGGTGGAACTGGTATATTCACATTCATCGCACTTGTACATTTTCTGGTCATTGTGCTCTAAAACAAAAAACAGAGACAGGTTATGACTTGTACAGCCATTACAAAGCTCGTTTTAAAACATGGCTTAAGTACCGGTCACTCAAGCGTAAGAAGAGGAATGTCAATCAGTCTCACCATTGTCTGTAACTCGAAACGCTTCTTCCCCCTTGGTCGCCTTCTCAGTCGCCAATGCTTCTTCTGGACTGTGGAATTCTCTTTCATGGGTTCTCAGCTGACACTAAAGCAAATAACAAGGGTTTGTAATAATTAAAACATGTGAAAAATTTTGCTTCAAAAAAGTTCTAAAGGATTCTGAGAGAAACTATGCCACATGTGACATGTATATTCTCTATTGTAAGATCAATAAAGTTTATATTATCTTATGTTATCTTATAATGTAATTGGGCTTGTTCACACTAAAGGGCACAAAAGTGTGACAAAAGGCCAAAAATTAGATTTTAATAATCAGAAGATATTTTATGTTTTTCATGTTTCCAAGCACCTCCTCTGTTCATTAGAAGTTTCTAGAACATAACTGTTTTATACATTAGACAAGCTTCCTATAGCGGCCCTGTTTATTTTATGTAACGGACGTGATGATTTGACGGAATGAGCTTTGTGGAAGTTTGATAGGTATTTTCAGATGTCCACATTTGATTCAGAGATTCTATTTTTTTACACAAAGTAGATGCAAAGTGATACTTTCATATTATCAACCAATTAAATGTGAAAACAGACCAGATATTTTTTTTTCTCAAGTTTAATTTTTAGAGAAAAGAGGACCGTCCTCATCACGTCCGTTATACATTTTACAGGGGTCATTTAATTCATTCATTATTTTTAATTTTTTCACGATTCCTTTTTATATCAAGTGATTTCCTTCTGTTGTGTTAACCATGTAAATATTGTGGGATTTCATCTTCTGCTTTTTCAGACTGAGGACATTTTATTTTCTATGTAACTGGCGTCACAGTAGAATGGTCCAATCAGAGGCTGATTTGGTCGTTTAAAATGTTGCTAAATTTTTTTATGTCAATCTTTCCTTTTGATTTTTTCCACACTATCTCTTCAATGTGTCTGTGTTTGAAATCTTTTTTTTTCCTATCTATGAAACTAATTATAGTTTTTAAGTTATAACCTTTTAAAGTCCAGATACTTCAATTGTCACTTTACTGTGAACACACTCAATTCAAAAGGCACGGTTTGCCCTGGAGGTTGGGTGCTTGGCATGGCAGCGGCTCACCCATTGTACTGCATAAGTTGTGTTTGTGGCAGGACCGTCAAGGAAATAAGAATGAGAAGCTAAATATTTGCCCTCAGGCGATGCTTTATTGCATTTTCAATCTATGCTCAAATTACTCTTACATATGCAATAAAGTATAGGGGGGGTTGAGCTGCCACAAACATCAAATTAATTAAATGAAATGTGCATTATTCATTACATAGCTAATGGTTTGTAGATTTTAAATTGTATTGTGTTGGTACAATTCAATACTACATTTAAATATTGAAATACATTTCACTTGTAACTGTCAGCAGAATTGAGAACTTCTGGCTACATGGAACATGGAAGAATAGAAAACTCCAAAACTAGAATTCCAATAGTGACACCTCATGTTTAGGGAACTTTCCCAGTCCTCCTTCTCATAGGCTTTCCAAAAGAGACAAGAATAAGCTATATAACAAAGCTGGTTACCATCTGCATGTCTTTTAAAATATAATATTCTAAAGTTTATGAGAAAAAAAAGAAAAGTTTACTTCCAGAACAGCAGTGGACTGCGCTCTGCAAACCCTGACATATTTGTGAGTTTGCAAGTGCAGGAAGCACAGAGCATACAGTGTGACACTCTCAGAACACATAAACATTGTCCGTATGGGCCATGACTAAACATGGTCTGCACTCGAGCCCAGGCCAGCCTCAGGCTGGTGCGGATTCCTCACAACAACGGTCAACATATGGAAGCCTTTTTCACCCTTCACCAAATGGTCTTGAGAAGAACAACATAAATATCCATTACAACTGATAACCAATCACTCCTGACTGGGAAAAACACAATATATGTGTAACTGGAGATTCATCAGTGAGTCTCAAGCACTTCTTACAAAGCACTCCCAGAGAAATGAGCTGGCTTTTAGTGTATCAGCAGGTCTGGGTCTAAACTAGGGCAACCCCTAAGGTCTTTAATTTGAGTACATAATTATCAAAATGTGACTTATTAGTTGATTGGAAATTGTATCAAATCCACTCTGAATAATCAGATATAATAACTGTAGAGTAATTTCAGAAATTTTGATTTTTTTCTTCCACATTGTGAAAACAAGCCAATGATACAAAACAAGGTGTGTAATAAGGCCACCCAAAGATAAAATTCCAATACTAACTTTGCACATGTAATTAGCGTTTGGTTGCAGTTGTGCCATCTATCATTTCAGGGAGATTATGATATTTTAGTAGCTGACCAATCAATGAAAAGATAAAAGATTCTGAAGACACTGCACACAGATAGTTATTAAGATCAGGAATGTTTTGGTCGTGGTCCTTTGTCAACCAAATTGTGAGTGAACTTGTACAAAATAAACGGACTGCTCTATTTTTGTGCTTTCATTAAAATCCATGGGGCGACAGTAGCTCAGTTGGTAGAGCATTGGCCTTAAGGCCAGAAGGTCGTGGGTTCATTTCCCACCTCTGCACCTTCTCCACCGACTCCCACTGATGACTGCTGTCGTTGTGTCCTTGGGCAAGACACTTAACCCCACTTTACCCAAAGCCCCCACTGAAAGATCAAGGCTATGCTCACACTCAGAGAGCAGCCGTCCTCCTGTGGACTCACCACCTGCAGAGGGTCAGTGAGGGGCTGGTGCTATGAGACTTGGGTGGCATCTCTGACTGCCACCCCCCTGACCCAGAAATGGATTAAAGGGTAAAAAATGGATGGATGGATGGCATTAAAATCCATAAGTATAAGGGTAGTATTGAAATTTCGGACAAACATTTTATTTACACACATTAAAACCTGCTTTCCTTCACTCACCTTATAGTGGAAGGACTCCGGGCACTGGTTGCATTGGTACATCTTAGTCTTACAGTGGTTGATCATGTGACTCTCTAGGTCTTTACTGTCCATGGCAATGTGCTCGCAGATGGGACACTGGTACGGCTGCCGCTGCTTGTGTACTCTCAGATGCTGCTTGATGTAGCCCTTGTTGCCGCTGGTGTACTGACACAACTTGCACCTGTACGGCCTGTCGCTGCCCTCGATATAGTCCACCAGGCTGTTGTCCGAAGACGATACTATTTCATCCACGTAGCTCGCGGATTCGTTCCCCGTCGCTTCGCCAATGGTTGCTCCGTGTTGCACCTGCACGTTATCCTGTAGCTCTTTGAGGATATCTTCGTCCGACGTGTTCTGGTCCGAACGCTCCCTCAGTCTCTCGATAACCGTGAGTAGAGACAGACTGATGCCTGCCGCTTTAGTGCAGGTCACCTCTTCGTCCCCCTCTCCGAGTGACCCCAAGCTTTGTTCTAGTTTGGGTTTGACCGCCTTCCCCCCGCTCGTCTCCTCTGCCAGTTTCTGCCCGAGACTTTCGTTTGGATTGGTCAGCTCGGGCATTCTCATGGGCATGGCCACGAGGGCTTCGGCTGCGAGCGAATGCAGACGCAACGACTCTGAGTGCGTCCTCTTTCTGACCGTGGGGGGTATGTTTTCATCCTTGGGGGAGTCGGTGACAGCGGATGCAGTACTTTTGGCTACAGCTACGTCTACCTCTTCGACCTCTACCTTTACCTTCACATCGACATGGTCCGATGCACTCAGTAAAGTCGTGTCTCTGTCTTCGTCTGGCGTTAGGAGGAGAGGGTTTGTGGTCAAAACCGCGTCCCCAGCAGAAGGCAATCGCTCCACAATCACATTGATGTGTCCAGCGCTGTTGGGATCGCTGTTTATGATCTTCTGAGCAGAAGAAAGCAAGCTGTCTGAAGAGCTCTCTTGACTTTCCCCATTTGTAGTTGCCTGCACCTCCACGACGGGACCATCGGAGACCACATCTTTCACCGGGTACACGTTTTCATCCACCAACTCCGGCTCCATTTTCACAATATTAGGCTGTATCTGGGTTGACATGTTCAGCTCGTTATCCGCGGCAAACGGCACGCACAACTGCAACTTAAGGCCGGGTTGCTCACTTTGATCTTGGATGCCGAAAGGTGAAAGAAGGACAACTTCCTCTCGGTTGGTGGAAATTTGAGTTTCCTTTCTGGCAGCCGTCCCTTCTTCATCCTCAAAAATTGGATACGTGCAGTCCACCAACCCAGCATGCTTCCATGCGTGCGTCTTGAGCATTCGCTGTTGACTGCAGACGTAACTGCAGATCAGACAGCGATAGAGGCCGTACTCCTCGTGACTATACCACTTCTTCTGTGAAAGCTCATTGGAACCGCCGCCTCCTTTGTGCTGCGGAGTGGAAGGGTTACCGTCAAAATGCAGTTTGACGTGGGCCTCGAGCTGTTCTTGGTCTTGGGAGGTGAAGCGGCATTCCGAGCACATGAGGATGAGGTCGCTGTGGTTCTCATCGTGCTGTTTGAGGTGCTCTCTCAGCAGGCTTAGGGTGGGGGAAAGATAAAGGCAGAGGCTGCACTGATAGCAGGTCACAGTCCGCTTGAGCTCAGAGCTGATAGAGTTATCAGAGAGTTCTGTTACGGATGTGGAGGTGGTGGTGTTGTTGTTGCGGTCACCCGACACGCACACATCGTCGTCAGTATCAGCACTCACGCAGCTTTCTTCTTCCCTGCAGGTTTTTCGAGTTTTACTGTAAGTGGAGCCTCCCGGAACCCTGGTTGAGGCCTCGTAGAGCAGTCGTTTCTGTCCGGCTAAAGTGCGGCAACGCTGGGGGCGTTTCTCGACAATTTTGCTGAGCTTCTGGATGACCTGGATGAGGGAGTCAGCAGCTTGTTTTTGTTGGAAGCTGGGGTGAATGTGGTTGGGGGCTGTTTGGAGGGTCTGAGGTTGGGATACCAAAGATGGCTGGTTAGAGGTGGTGACCAGCAGTGCTGTGTCACTAATCTCCTCCATCACCTAAAGCATAAAAAACATGTTAAAACCAAGTATTAGAAGACATAAGGCTACAATCAAAAGAAAATTGGAAACATTAATGAAAGTTTAAAACAAATATTTTCTCTAATATTGATTGTTGACTAGTCTAAAACTATTCAAGAATTGTCTCTTATCTTGCACCATCAATAATATCTGTTTTTTTTTGCAAGCCCCCACTTTATTTATTTTGATTATATTAAATACAATAAATGTTATTGGTTATTGAAAAACACAAAACTAAGATCACCACCAATTGTAACATGATAAACAAAAGTCAAAAAAACTCTAGTACTTATTGAATATTGGGCTTTCCTTTGAAGTATTTGCAAATCGCTCTGAACAGATATGGTCTCGGTCCCTGTGGAGCCTGAGGCAGATGACTTCGGTTTATATGGCTGTCTACCAGCATGCCTTGAGAAAACACAAGAACTATAAACTTTACTTTACAGCTACATAGTCAATTTCATACACAACAGGGATCAACTTTTAAAGGCTTTCCTGAACAATAAAAAAACTTTACAAAAAGAGGTACATTTGTCTTCTCCATTTTGTGATATCACCTCATATAGTATACTATGAAAAGAAGAAAGTGTACTAACAACAAAAGTGATCACACCAAACATAAACACGTGCTTTTGTTTACTATAGTATATCTAAAAGGAAGCTTCCCTGTATTATCCTTTGTTTGACCACAGATTGCCTTCCTCTTTTTTGTTACTTCTGCAAATACTATGCTTTCTATTCCCTATATACAGCCTGTGACTTTTGATCTGAATATACAGGATGTCTTTGTTATTTTTACTTTTCCTTGTGTATCTATTTATTCAGAGGTCGCCTACTCACAGAATAATTATGTCTTGTCCTTTAAAGGTCCTGTGTCCTGAATGTTTAAGGATAAAGTTTATGCACTTTGGCTAATGTGCAGACAATAAATCTAACATTTGAGTTGAGCTGTCTTACTTTCCTCAATTTGTGTATAGTAAACTGCCCATGTACAGATAAGAATCATACCATAGGCCAAGTAATTATCATATTTGCAAGGGATTATTTTTTCAATTTTTTTGTTTTCATCTGATGATAATCTGAGCTATAACATGTACCATGCCTATATTCGTTTTACCCAAGTCATATAAAAATTCCAAATTCGATTCTGCAATGGCTATACATTCATAAGTCGAACAAGTGTATGAATAACAGCTTTTGTGATCACATTTCTAATAACAATCCGTTTCCTAAAAGTCTATTGTAGATCATATGACTGGAATCAGCCCTCTCGGGGAGAATTATCATGTGCTTTTTTGCTTCTCAAACCAGCACCTGTTATGTCAGGGGCTAAAAATATGCCCACCCCTCAGCAGCAGCAGAAGTTATGCCCTGCCTCCCAACTCTCTAACAAATCCTCTCAGACAAATACCACAACGGAGGATGCCATGACAAACCAACAATTCAACATTTACCTACAAGAAAAAAAACACAGAGATAGTAAAAGCGAGTTTGGATGCAATTTGACCGCTTTGCTTGCACTTGCCCACACGAGCCACAGATGCTAAAGCTAACCCCGGACACATGCTAACCGCGGCTCCTGCTCATGGAGAGTGGCCGACGCTGAGGTTGTGCAGGCCGGGGATGTACTCACGGGCACGGGCACAGGCGCTGCTCTCTGTCCTCAGCACGAAAACCCGCGGGGCTGTTGTTAGTGCTTATTGCTGTGCCATAAAGCATCCGGCGCTGCGTCCACATTGCAAAATGGCGAGGATGGAATATGAGTCACGTGACGCAGGGTCTGGGTCACGTGACGAGCGTGGACCACTTACAGCTGCAGGGTCCGGGGTTTGAGGTCTGCGGTCTGAGTGTGGCACATGGGTCTATGGTCTGTTGTTGAGGGCATGGAGAAAAGAAAGGCTCTAGTGTTTATGAATCTCTTATATTAAGTTATATTACCAGCCCGGACTCTGAGGAGCACAGGGACTGGACTCGTGCTGGGACTCTGAGGAGCACAGGGACTTGCAGTCGCATGGGGTATGGCTCTATCAGTTTTGCACATCGAGGAGACTGGAAATTCTTGGCCCATTCTTCCTTGCAAAACAGCGGGGTGCCCAGTGACGGTTGGATGGAGAGCGTTTGTGAACAGCGTCTTTCAGCTCTTTCCACAGATTTTGGATTGGAATAGGTCTGGACTTGACTTGGCCATTCTAACACCTGGATTATGTCTATTTGTGAACCATTCCCATTGTTAGATTTGGCTTTATGTTTTGGTTCATTGTTCTGTTGGAGATTAACTCTCCGTCCCTCCAGGTTCTCAGGTCCGTTTGCCAGCTCCAACAGGTTTGTCTTCCAGAATGGTCCCTGTTATTTGGGCTCCATCCATCTTCCCCCATCAATTTTAGCCCATCTTCCCTGTCTTCTTGAAGAATAGCAGGCCCACAGCATGATGCGCCCACCATGTTTGTCAGTGGGGATGGTGTGTTCCGGGTGATTGAGCTGTGTTGCTTTGACGCCAAACATATCCGTTTTGCAGTGTGGCCCAAAATTTTGATTTTGGTTTCCATTGACCGAGCACCTTCTTTCCACATGTTTGGATTGTTGAGTCTCCCCGGTGGTTTTGTGGCAAACTTTCAACAGAGACTTTTATTTATTGGGATATCTTTGAGGAAATGGCTTTCCTGTCTTGCACTTTCCCATTAAGGCCCAGTTTGTGCAGTGCAGACTGATTGTTGTCCTATGGACCCCGACTATCCCACCTCAGCTGTAGTTATCTGCCCAGTCATCCCATGAGTGATCATGGGCCTCTTGCTGCATCTCGGATCAGTCTTTCTCCATTGTTTGCAGATGAAAGATTGGAGGGACTGGGTTCAGTGTCTTGGTAGATGTTTGCAGTGGTCTGATTACTCCTTCCATTTCAATGATAATTGCTCTGCACTGTGCTCCTGGAGATGTTTAAAGCTTGGGAAATCTTTTTGTATTCCAAAGCCGGCTTTAAAACTTCTCCACAACAGTATGCGGACTGCCTGGTTGTTTTCCTTTGGTCTTCATGGTTCTTCTCAGCGCTTTAAACAGACCCTGAGACTATCAAGAGCAGGGTGTGGCATTTATACCGGAGTACTTGGATTAACACACAGGAGCCCCTCCCCCTTTCTATTTATTCATCATCAGTATTTAGGACAACAGAGGATCATTCAAAGATTCCTCACTGAACATCTGGAAGCTGTGTGTGCTGCACGATAAGTAAAGGGGGTCCAATAAGATAGCACGCCCCCACTGTTCAGTTTTTTATTTGTTAAAAAATTTTAAATTATCCCAATACATTTCGTTCCACTTCCTGATTTGAGTCCACTGTTGTTGATTCTTGGACAAAAAATCTAATGTGATATCTTTATGTAAGTAAGTTGTAAGTAAGTATTGATTAATATACCCGCTTTCCATGCGTTCTGAGTTTCAAAGCGTTTTACTCAATTGTTAATTTTGGGAATTTGTCTCTCATCCCACCACAGAGATGGGAGCTCTGGGGGTCAGACAGGAGGGCATGCCCAGAACTATGGGACATATTTTTAGTGGTAGGGGAAACCGGAGTACCGGAGGAAACCTACTGCCAGACAAGGGGAGCACATGCAAACTCCACTCAGCAAGGCCCTGGTCGACGGGATTCAGACACCAGGACCTCTTGCTGAGAGGGAGAGTGGCTTAACCTCTCAGCCACCGTGCCAGCCCAGTTTGTCCATGTTTGAAGCTGAAATGTGAAAGGTTCATAGGCGGGGCGCATACTTTCCGCAAGGCACTGTATATATAAGGAGTGTGTTCACAGTAAGTGGACAATTAAAGTCTCTGGACTTTAAAAGGTTATATATTAAAACTAATATTACTTTCATAGTTGAAAAAAAGATTTCAACACCAGACCAATTGAAGAGATTATTGTGGGAAAAATCCAATAAGGCAAGATTGACATACAAATTTTTAGACAAAATTGTATCGTACCAAATCAGCTCTGATTGGGACCTTCTACTGTGACGCCAGTTACATAGAAAAATCAATGTCCCCCTCAGTCTGAAAAAGCGAAGATGATATCCCACAGATTTCTTGGTTAACACCACAGAGGAAATACGTCATATAAAAAGGACTCGTGAAAAATTAATTAAATAATTAAATGGACCATGAAAAAGGTATACACGGGACGTGCATGAGGACAGTCCTTCTTTTCTCTAAATATTAAACCTTGACAGAACAAAAAAATATCTGGTCAGTTTTCACCATTTTAATTGGTTGACACTATGAACGTATCACTTTGCAATCTACTTTGTTGTAAACAATTAGAATCTCTGGTCTCAAATGTGGACATTCTGAAAATACCATCAAACTTCCACAAAGCTCATTCCGTTAAATCATACGTCCGTTACATAAAATAAAACAGGGCGCTTCAGGAAATTGTCTAATGTATAAATATAGTTATGTTCTAGCCAACTTCTAATGGACAGAGGAGGTATTTGGAAACATGAAAAACAAAAATATCTTCTGATTATTAAATCTAATTTTTGGCCTTTTGTCACACTTTTGTGCCCTTTTAGTGTGAACAAGCCTATATATATATATATATACCATCTAATGTATTTATTTATATATATTATAATCTACAGTATGTCTAAAAAACTACATACTGTAGTCTGTACATATTGTATTCAGGTATTTGTCCTTGACATTTGTGTGGCACTGCCCGCCTCCTACCAGGGTCTGAGGTCCAAGGAAAGGCCTAAACTCCTTCAATTAGCAACAAATAATGAACAAATCTGGGATCGCAAACATAGATGGCCGGGAACATAAAGTCCCGTGACATTGTTTAAAAGTTAAATCCAAACATAAAGACACAGATGTCCCCTTTTACTTCAGTTTGAGGCGAGATGTTGATGATTTCACATGTTGCGATCAATATGTGGGTTTTCCAGGAGTCAAGGTTTGGTTTAAGTAACTGCTGCTTTATAAGAGCTGCG